TTGTACCACCGCTCCATGCGTGCACCTGTTCACCCCAGAGAGCTGTGTTTCCCCCACAGTTGTCCAACCACCATAAGAGATAAGTGTACCCTGGAAGATTTGAGGGAGGAATGAAGCCTATTTTGATCTCTGTTGATACAGAGTAATCTAAAATTTACCCAGATTACCAAGGGTTTGGAGGATTATCCTGCTTCCAAAAGCTAAATCATATAATAACATACACACGTACATGCACACACTAACAGCAACTACAAGCGGGACGTGCGCCAATGAAATTCAATTCATAGCAACTGTGTGTGTGTGTGTGTGTGAGAGAGTGGGTTTGTTTTTAAAGTGCATGTTTGGATGCAGAGTTTAACTCCACATCTTCAGCGTTAGACACAGATCATGCACACTGGGGGGAAAGAAAAGTTTCATGTGTCATGCACACACTTTTCTCTTTTTTCACCTTTTTACTGAAATCAATCTCAGTGCACCTTCCAGTCTCGAATCATCTATCCCCTCTCATCCTTTGTCTTGGTATTGACTGGCCACAAAGCAGCCACTCAAAAGAGCAGTGCGCACCACCTTGCACACAGCACACACACATCCTAACAGAGGTAGAAAGAGAAGCGGAGACTGTCGCACACATCTCAAAAGCCCGGTGACAAAAGGACAAAGAGGCTCCCTGTCAGGTACTCCAGCTACACTGCTGCGAGCTCAGCTTTGGAAATGAGTTGGGAGGAAGGTGCTTGGGTCTTACATATTGGTGCACACTGCACAGTAGGGAAGTGGCTGGGGCTTTAATTGGAAACATGGGAGTGTAGGAAGGCTGCAGTTTAGTTTATATCTGGTAAAAAAAAAAGTTGAGTTTCTCCCTTAACTGTGAGATAGTTTGCCACTAATGGTGTACAGTTGGGCTAGTTGCACCTTTGAGAGTATCGGGGTGATGTTTGGTGGGAGATTGAAGAGGAGGAGGAGGGAGGTGGGCCAGCTTTTGGTTTTACCCAGCTGATTTACAAAGAGGAAGAAGGCAAGCCTTTAATTTGAACTATTTATCTCCTGTAGATATTAGGTCTGGAGTAAGTAGCGACGCAGGATATTGAGTTCAGTAACACACACACACACACACACACACACATACACAGACACATTGGCTCCCCAGCTCCCTGCTCACCCAAGTGAAGGAGGGGATTAAGGATTTGATTCACTCCCGCCATTGTCTCTCCCACCTGCCAGATTTCTGCTTCTTAATCGGGCCAAGAGCATCTGACATGATGCACAGGTATTCTCCAAGCCTGCTCAAGGCTCCCACAAGACGGCGTAAGTGATTCCCCCGGGTGCTTTGAGTTGCCAGTGCGACGGATTGGGAGCCTGTACGTATTATGATTGGTGAATGTCTCCAGACAAGGCAATGCCAGAGCGAGGGATGTGTATCAGTGTTGTAATGACATCATCTGCACAGGCTGTGACAGTCAGGGTGATTTAGAGTGGAAAAGTGTTTGCTGTTGCCATGGGCGATCACAGAGGAAGGCTTGAATGGATAATACAGATCAGGCAACATCAGTTAGATACTGCATTCACTTATTTGGCCTTGCCAAGTGTTTGTTCCACAGTGACAGTAAGCTCTGCTGCCTCGTAACTAAAGTGTCGACTGTATCTTAATCATGCAGTTGTATCTCAAAAAATCCTCCTGGCAAAAAGCTTCATGTCTAATGGCCAGAACTGATTGGCTCTTAACTGTTTTAATCATGAGATTGTTAGTTGATATTGGATTATGTCTATAAATTAGGAGGACTGTTTAATAAATATGTTTGTTAAATAATCCCCAAGGCTGCAGAAGAGAAATCTGGAAATGATGAGTTTATATTGTGTTGAGTAAAAACAAGATGGCACCTTCTTCTTATTCAAACACTAACTTAATTTTAATTTGTTAATTGATTGATAAATTTGGTGATTTCAGACCTGATTTTCAGCCTTGTTAAGAGTCTTTCAGGCAGTTATAGCATACATGACAAATTTTGTATTTAATACATAATTATAGAAAGTTCACTAAAATGAAAAATGAATATTGGCTTCAGCTGTTTCTCAATATTACGTTTTTCCCAGGGTATTTTAACAATGTTGAAAGCATAGATGCTAATCTTTCTATTAAACCCATATAGAGAGGCTATATTTAGGATGTGTTGTATGTAGTGCACGTCACAAGCCACCAGAGGTCAGTCTCTACTGGTGGAACAGGCAGCTGAGCTGGCAAACATGGTGACTGCCTGTGGTAGGGATATAGTTATAGGACTGTAAACAACCAGTCAGCAACAGCAGCAAGGAAAAACAGCATATTTTCACATCTCACTTGATAAGTTAAGGGGTTTGTGATGGTCTTGGTGAGTTTTATTTTGTTTTAATTGAGTTTGAATGAATGTGTTACATGATGAGATAACAAGGCAATGCACTGTCCCAAGCAGGAATCTTTCGTCCATGAGTAAATGCAAGCTTCCTTCTGTGCAATGATATGGCTAGCAGATGTAGAGACATTGCTGTTGAGTTTTCAGTCTTTATTTATTTATTTATTTAGTTCAGTTTAGTTTAGTTTATTTAAGAAAGGACAGTGCAAATTAATAAATACACATGGTATAGAATTTGCAAAAGGCTATTTTTCATCTGCAATCACTTGGCCAAGATAGCTACCCTGACTACCTAAAATACAACAAAGCACAAAAAGAAAAACAAAAAATAGAACAAAACAGAACCACACACAAAAAGAAAACAGGGCATACAGTTTTATTTTGTTTCAGTTGAGTTTGAATGAAGGTGTTATACAATGACTTAACAAGGCAGTTATGCTAACGTAAGTTGCACTGTCCCAAGCAGGAATTTTTAGTCCATGAGTAGATGTACACTTCCTTCTTCGCGTTGATAGGGTTAGTGGGTGTAGAGACATTACTGTTGAGTTTTTCACTCTTTATTTATTAGTTTAGTTTAGTTTAGTTTATTTAAGGAGGGACAGTGCAAATGAATAAATACACATAGTATAAAAATGCCAGAATTCGCAAAAGGCTGTCTTTCATCTGTAGTCCCTCAGCCAAGATGGCTACCCTGGCTACCTAAAATACAAGAAAGCAAATAACAAAAAAAAAAAAAAACACAAAACAGAACAAAAAACAAACAAACAAAAACAAAACAAAACCACGCACAAAAAGAAAACAGGGCATACAGTTTTATTTAGTCTCAATTGAGTTTGAATAAATGTGTTATGCGACGAGTTAACAGGGCAGTTATGCTAACGTTACTTGCTCTGTCCCAGGTAGGTATCTTTTGTCCATGAGTAGATGCACACTTCCTTCTGCGCGGTAATTTGGGTGGGGGTTGTAGAGACATTACTGTTGAGTTTTTCAGTCTTTATTGTTTATTTTATTTTAGTTTAGTTTAGTTTAGTTTAGGCTATTTTTCATCTGCCATCCCTTGGCTAAGATGGCTACCCTGGCTGTCTAAAATACAACAAAGCACAAAAAAACAACTAAAAAAAAAGAACAATAAACAAACAAACAAACAAAAAAACAAATGAAAACCACCCACACAAAAAAGAAAAAGAAAACAGGGCATACCGTTTAAAAGAGTTATTTATTTTTTTGTCTGGCAATTGAGCACCACAAGCCGGTCGCATCTAGCTCCATTATATTGGAGAGAAGGCAGACATCTCTATGGCCATTATTTCCAACACACAGCAACTCACACCAAAACAATTTAGACTGATGAACAGCAATACAGGTAAGAGGAAAAATATATATTTTTGATTTTGGGGTGAACTGTCCCTTTTAACGTAAATGCTCTCTAAAACTTTCCCTAATGTCATAAGTTTGCTAAGTGCATTTCAATTTTGATTGTTCACATTAAAAAAAGGCCTGTTTCCACAAATCACATCCCTTAATAGAGCGAGATAACCTTGTGCAATTATTATAATCCGTTCGTCCAAATGTTCATTTGTCTTTTATCGGGATCTCGCTCCTGTTCTCTGGGGTGTCTTTATTTTTCCTCATATTCACAAAGCCACAGCTCTGACAGATTTTCCCATGGTACAATCAAAATGCATCTGAGAACAGATGTTTTTGTTTTGTTGTTGTTGTTGTTGTTTTTTCAGTGGTAGCCTTTTTTTTTTTTTCATGGAGAGTGCCCACTACATAATCTGTCAGGAGCTTGGCAAGCCACATTCTATTTAAAACTCAGACCACCTCTGTCAGAAAAGCAATTACTAGCGAGGGTTTCATTTTAATTTAAATGAGATTACATTACAGTGACATGAAAAAGGGGCACTGTCAGGATGGAAAGAACACGAGTGCTCCTTTTTATCTGTTTCCCCAGCACTGGGATTGGGGTGGAAAGACTTAACTGCATGAAGAAAGACTGTGTGTGTGAGGGAGAGGGTGTATGTGAGAGACAAAGACATACAGACAAGAGTGTAATGTACTGCATGCCTATGGGTGCGCACGCATGTGTGTGTTAGTGTGGCGCATCTTAAAGCGACCAGCTTGTGAATATTGAAAAGCTGTGCTTGGAGACAGAGGAGAACAATTACTGCAATGCCTCAGGCTCAGATCAATATAAAAGCCCTGTGCAAAGCAACGTCAGTGACATAAAGCTATATGATATGTCATTTTCAACTTTTACTTTCATGATCCTTCCTCTAATCCTCTCAGCCCCTGTATCTTTGTTGTTTTCTTTCTTCATTCAAAGCCACTGTAGGCTGTGTGAATCCAGAGTGTATCACAAAAAAGCATACCAAGCATCTGGGGCTGGCTGGCTCATTACCTGGTGCACAAGGGAGCGCCATGTCAGAGGAAGCCGTCAAACCAACTTTATGGTCTAGTTGCAGCATGTGTCTCTCCCTAAGGTGAATACTGAGTAAGATAGAGGCACATCATGTTGTAACTGTTTTATTCTTCTCTCTCTTCCCCCCTCCTCTCCCTGCCTCTGTTTACCCATTTCCTCCCTTTTCTCATGCTATCTGGCCTTGAATGGAACAGCGGATGAACTTGGGATTGAGTTCATGGGTAAGACAACTTTTTTTCATTGTCTGCTTGGAGTGCTCAATCTTTCATGTGCTTTTCGTCTGTGAAACACCACATACAAAACACACAATCCAGCACAACAAGGCCACTCACCTTGGAAAATTAATGCGGGCCAGTCGCCATGGAAACACCGTGGTGGTGAATTAGGTGTATTCTGTCTGCATGAAGAACAGCGCCGTTAGAGACGAGTGATGTAATGAGGATGGAGCAATAAAGACAACCGTGGCACTTCATCTATGAATGTTTATCTACTAGCCTAACACTAACACATGTATGTATTGTCAGTTTAGCAGCAGTTCTGGATCTGTTACATAATATTTGTCTGTCTATAAGCCAATATAAATAGAACGGTAAGCAATGGAAACACAATTTAAACCTCTTTGGAATTCAATTGATATCACTTTCAACCTTCCGGGGGTTAACAAATCTTTAAAAACCAAATTATCGAGCCCTCGTTCGTTAATAATGACATGCTGTTCTTTGTCCAGAGGGAATATACAATTTTACCCCCGCAAACAGCCTCTACCGGCACTCGCTTTCCATTTTTTCTTTGTCGTTTTATCCCTCGGTCTCTCCGGCTCCCCTTTGTGCATACATATAAACCAACATCACATGCTGTGAAGTTTTTCCATTAACATGGCTTCATTCTCTGCCGTCACGTCATACGCTTGCTCCAGGAAATAGAAGGCAAGGAGAAGACGCTCGGAAGCCTGCACCACACACAGCATTCCTCAGTTCAGTGATTTTAATCTGGGGACTAAATTAGTTCAGAATGCTACGGCAGGTGGGCGGATGCATTAGAGAAAATGAGAACAGGATTGATCAATTGATAGCTGGACAGATGACAGACTGAAGCGCAGGTAGTTTTCTTTTTTCCGGCTCTCCGTTAAGCACCGTGCATCACTTGCTTATTCATTGTGTTCCATTATGACTTCCTCCTCTGCTTTAACAATGAATCTTTTCATAGCTGTTATATAAGTCCAATATGTGACCGTCTGAGACAGTCAGTCAGAAAACAGCAAAGCTCTGTTTGAAGTGGGATTGAGTGCTCTAAATATGATCTTGTCTTTTGATTTTCTTGCTGTATTTTGCCCAGCAGCTGAGACTCTGTGTGTCTCACTAGTTTGCCCTGATGTATTTCAGGCTGAATACCCCATTTTGTCATGGATACTTTAGCATGCTCTTCATTATAGCATTTTTTTCTGGTCATGTGTAGAATGGTTGCTATGGCTGGCCATATAGGATTGTGTTGTCCTCGTGTCAATATGACATGGCTTAGCCGATATAGCCGAGGCTGCTCGGTTTGTTCCGTTTCCCAACATGCTCTTGCATCTAATTTCAAGAACGCCTTGTAGGCATCGGGCATGAAAGGCCTGTAATGGTTTTATGTACAGACTGCATGTTGGTTTTTCCTCGCAGCCATTCAGCAGAGCTTTGTAGACAGCTGTTTTTATGCTCAGATTTTGGAAATGCATCTACCCAAAGAAAAGGCAGAGGCTTGTCTCAGGTGGTGCCGCACATGAGCACTGATGATGTGGCAGCAGGGAAACACATCACCCATATATTTTAAAGATGGAAGCGTCGAGAGGTCATTTCACTGATGGTTAAAGGCCGGAGGGTTTTCAGGGCTGCGCATATACAAGTGACACATTACTTATCAACAAACAACAGAGGCAGCTTCTGTTGTTCATTTGTGGAGTGCGGCTTGAAGACATTCAATGCTGTGTTTCTGACAAATTACAGGGTGGGGCAAGAATCTTCGAGTCAAGAACTCGTTGACAGCTCCACCACTGAGAAGTATTAGCATATATGTGATTTGACACTAGTATTATTTTCTATTATACACAATAGAAGCTGACAAATTTATACCAGGGCTGATATTATCAGCTATAGTGGCTTATTATTGTTATTAATACCACCATATATGTTTGAGGAGTTACATGAGGACATTCCAGTGTATTACAATGCAGTAGTGAATGTTTATAAGCTGCATTTGTACACATACTTTACCAGTTTACATTCATTTTTCCTAATTTAAGTTGATACATTTTTGCATCGTATTTATCAGAATTACATATGATTTAATTTCCTGTGAGGTTACTTAATGAAATCAACTAAATTTTATATTGAAAGGTCTGTGCAGGAGAACTATGGTGGCAGACGCAAAAATGCGAATGGCCCTATCTAGAGCTCGTGTTTGATTTGTCCATTCTGGGCTACTGTAGAAACAACATGGTAATCTCCATGGGAGAAGACCCTCTCTGTGTATATATAAATGACTCAGTGGCGGCTCTAGCACATTTGGTGCCCTAGGTGAGCCCCCCCTCCCCCTCAAGCAACAAGAAAAAATAAGATTAAAAATGTACTAATTTGCATTCAGCAACATTTTTTTACGTGTTATAATAATTATATAAATCAATAATAATTAAAAAGAAATTACAAATTAACTTGGGGAAAATTTGGCAGCTATATTTGGATGTCTAATCAGTGACGATAGAAAATGTTGTTGATTGAAGCAGTTATTGACAAAGAAAGCTGAGTTGACAGCTGTGAAATCTGTTCTTCCTCCATTCAAAACCGTTATTTGACATGACAGTGATGCGTTTGGTCTGAGGAAGAACAACAGACTGGATTTCACCTTCTGGTAGCCAGTGGGGATGCTTGCTGAAAACAGAACTTGCTTGTTCTCTTTGCTTGTATTGCAAACCAGCTATGTGTCCAAGAGAGAAATGGCATTCCAAAATATGAGTGCAGAGGATGTTATGGACTAGGATACATTCAATACATTTGTTTTGGCTGACTGACTCACCATATTTATTCAAGCCAAAGTACAGTATATGGTCGAAGAGATGCAGTGGAGAGATGGAGGCTGTGGCTGTAATGCAAGAGAATATGGCCGGCATGGACCCTCCAGAACTTGAGCTGAGAACAAACACCGACTGGGTGTGCCTTTGCTCAAATTATCCTCCATTGCCAACAGAAACTGAATCATTCTGCTGCAAGAATTTCAGCGTGGGAAGTTTTTGTTGGATGCTGTAGCCAATGCTGGGAGAGCCCAGAGAGAGCCCATAAAACTATGCATGAAAGTTTTACTCCTCGCTTGGACAGAGGTGTCCTGGAGACCTTCTTTAGGATCCGAAGGTAAACTGAAAAGACAATCAAGACCAGCAGGGCCAAGAGGCCAGGTTACTGCTGAGTGAGCTGATGCTGATGCTGTTCTAAGCTATTTTGTTGAGTTACCTCTTAGGTAAAGGAGTAATTTAAGCTGGGCTTTCATTGTGAAAGGGACAAAATGGAAAGACTGGAGCAGTTCTGAGCTGCTGTGGACAATGTGAAAAATAATAAAGAGTGTTGAAGGTCTTGGTTCACGCTCGTTCAAACTGCGGAGCTTCTGTGTTTTTATTTTTTTAGTATGGTCGCAAGTTATAAACCTCAGCTACGCTACGTTTGTGCCAACAAATATTACCTATAGGTTGCGAGTAATGCATCCTGGTACACGTAGGCACTGCCAGCATGATTCCATGAGCAGAAGAACTCAGCCATCCATCCATCAGGCAGCAGGCCAAGCAAAGCACCCCAGACGTCCCTCACCCCAGCAGCGCTTTCCAGCTCTTCCTGGAGGACCCCAAAGCTTTCTCGAGATATGTAATCCCTCCAGTGTGTTCTGGCTCTACCCCAGGGCCTTCTACCAGTGGGACATGCCCGGAACACCTCTAACAGGAGGCGCCAAGGAGGCATCCTGATCAGATGCCTGAACCACCTCAACTGACTCCTTTTGAAGCAAAGGAGCAATGTCTCTGCTCCAAGCTCCCTCCGGATCTCAGAGCTCCTTACCCTATCTGTAAGGCTGAGTCCAGCCACACCACGGAGGAAACTCATTTCAGCTGCTTGTATCAGCATTCTCATTCTTTCAGTCACTACCCAGAGCTCATGACCATAGGTGAGGGACGTAGATGGACCAGTAAATCGAAAGCCTTGTGGCTTTTTTTCTTTATTGCAAAAGCAAATGTGAAATTACCCTCGTAGCAGTTTGTCAGTTTGCCTGTGTTAAATAAGCTATAGTGTGTCACAGTTGGCCACCCTGCAGCATTTCTTTGGACCTGCTCTATTTTAATCCAACCCACCCTGCTCCTTTTCACAGGAGCTGAGTGGGCAGTTTAGACCTCTGATGCATATATATATATATATATCTCCACATATTGTAACTCTGGGATGTGTTCAGATGTTATCTTCATCTTTTGCCAGAAGCATTCTAATATTAAAAAGGTTTCCCTCCAGTTTGAACTCAATTACACCATACTACCCCTTAAATGTGTTGATGCAGCACTGATGTAATGCAGAGGGAAAATGGAAGAAAAAAAAGGGGTGGAATGTTGCAAACAGACTGCTTGGTTGCACTCCAGTGCAAGCTTTGAGCACAGGAAGCTCTCCAACTGTGCCCTTAAAACAAGAGTTGGAGGAACTTGATAAACCGGGGTAGACAAGCACGGATGAAGAAGACCTCCCAGGACAGTTCTCTGTTGACAGCATCAAAAGCCACAGACAAGCCCTCAAAGGTCACGAACAGGCTGTGGTGATGTTTTCTGCACTTTAGCCTGCAGTTGTCAAGGTGGTGAGATCAGACACAGGGGGATTTATTGTTTTTGATTGATTGAGTAATGTCACAGGGGCTTATGTTCAAGGGCGTGAATGACGATGGGACAGAGAAGTCTATCCACAGTGGATTAGGCCCATGACAGGTTGCACAGACATAAAGGTATGATGCTACATTGACTGTGTCAGCCTTTTACAGGCATACATCATTGTCGGTGCCATATTGGTGAGGGCAAGATTTGCCTGTCAGTGAATGCAAGTAATCTGGGGAGCTGGATAAAAAGCACTATAACATTTATATTTCTCAACCAATTTGGAGAAGTCATTTTTATATTCATGGGTTTATGATCTAGGTCCCATGTGTAGTTAATTAGAATCTTGATATTTAGGCTATAATTGCCTCTGGACACTCGAGAGGAGTGTCTGTTATGTTGTGTTTACACTATGAGCAACAACACAACAGCATGACCAGCTACAATGTCTTTGAGTCACTGCTGAAGTGTGGCTCAAGCGCTCGTCAACGTCTACTACAATGTTGACAAAAATGAGTTTTTACATTTCCTTATGACAGTGAATTATTTTTCACTGAGTAAGTAACTCAGTTCATGTTTGCCTAATACCCACCTCAGACCAAAGATTAGCGACGAGACAAGTTGAAACTACTTGCAATGCGCCGTTCTGCAACGTTCTAAAATCCTGCTGGTTCACACCAATAATGCAACTAGATGTGAAGGCGTATCATCTCTATGCAACAACTCTCTGTACTTCCGTTCTGATTTCCAGCTTTTCAGACTTATTTTGTGGCTGAATATAATTCGTAGGTTCTGTAAACATGAGTGAGGATAGTGATAGTGGCTACAGCTGCATTTGTAGTGGTATTGAAACGGCGAAAAACAGAAAAAAACAAGCATCAGATGGACTGTATTCATAATCAATACACCACAATTATATAAACAACCGGTCAATGTGAATGTGTGCGTGTGGAGGGGGCATAAACACATACAGAGCACAGCAGCAGCGACCCACTGTCCAATATGGTCTGAACTGGGCATAAAACGCATTCTAATATTGAGCCTCCAGCGATGATTATAGCCTAAATATTGAGATTCTCCTTAACCACACATAAAACACTTTTTATGTACTACACATAGATCATATACCCTTAAATATAAAAAAGACACATTGCAATTGGTTGAGAGATGTAAACGTTATAGTGCTTTTTCTCCAGAAAAACCTCGCTCCCCTCTTGACTTGCATTTGTTTACAGGCAAGTCTTGTTCTCTCCAATTTAGCAGTGGTGTTGACGTACGAAGTGGCGGTCGCAGCTGCCAAGTTGCAGGTTTCAGTCATTTGAACCACTTGATGGTTTGTTCTTAATAAGCCAGCTCCTGCACCGCCTCCACCCTCCCCTGCACCGTGCACTATGGTAAGTAGTGCAGCTCCACAATCCAGCTGATCAGTCAGACAGATATCTGCTGGGATCAACTGCTACTTGTCCCAGCTGCTTGTGACCTTAAGCCTCTGCCGCTGATGTGCAGGGGTCTGACAAGAAGCTCCGGGAGCATTCATTTGCTGCTAATTCCCTGTCGCCATCAGACTCTGAATGCTGACACACATACAGTACTTGCACACACACACACGGTGTGGCCCCTGCTGTGCCGACAGTCCATCCGGCGTTGCCTGCTGGGTTTGTCTGAACGAAATGATTATCACACTTCAGTTAGCACATGTCACTGAGCCCTGCCTGTGTCTGCCATGTCCCTATCCCATGCTCAAACACTGACATTTACTGACAGCAGCATTGGTCGCTTTATGCTAATGCAGATTGTGGGTGGATGTCTGTGTGTGTGGCCTCGTGTGTGTACGTCCATCTGCCGTTTGTGTGAGCCTGTTATGTTAATTCATGATACTTTTCTTCCTCCCTGCTCAATTGTAGCCCATATCCTTTATGTCACAGTAGAAATTCAGTGGCCTGAACTGTATTCTTTCCTCCACAGAGAGCGGTGACACCTACCAGAGGCAGGTGCTGTCCATCTTCAGCATCGCCTCGGGGATCTGTCTCCTTGGAGTGGCATGTATGGCTCTCTACCGCCGCAACAAGTGAGTGATGCCAGCCAGCACCACATTAGTAGAGTATGCCCCCGGCTGTGCAGAAAGAGCACTTTACTATCATGGCATGGAGCCCAATGAAATTCTAAGTGTGAGTCAGCTAGAGGATCTTTTAGCGGGGCATCAAATCTAAATTGTGTAGGATGCATTTGGGACAGATACTCATGTAAGATTTATTTGTAAAGTGGTATTAGCAAGTAGGTGTGTCACAAAATGCTTCACACAAAACAAAACACACAGATAAGGGGAGCTAGAGGCAAGCAAGCTAGAGCAAGTTCGGAACACATTGGGCCCTGAGCGCGCGTGTACGTGTGCGCGACCGGTTAAGAGGGGTACCAGGCGGCACGAAAGGAGCCCGCCAAAGTCAATTACTCACTGCAGGGGAGAAGAAAGAAAAGGAATGTAGACAAAGAAAAGTAATAGCTGAGTGTAAAGAGGGAGTTAATGTAGGTTGTGTTGATTGAATTGGTCTTGATAAACAAAATCAAGGTTTTATTTTCGGTACTGTAGAGCCGTAGGTCAGTGAGTCCTGGCTGAACGGTAGAATAAATGTACCGGAAATTATCCAAACCCAGAGACCTTGTTAAATTGAATCTCTTTTCCCCAAATGTTGTTTGACAGCGGAGCTTCGCCTGCAATAAACTTAAGTTTATTCTGCTCTTCAGTAAAGACCTGAAATTTTATTTGCATCAGTACTTCACTGAGAAGATTAACCAGCAGTGCATTCTTGATGGAGTTTAAAGACTATACAGAGGAGTTGGAGATAAGAGAGTCACTTATACATTTTTTAAAGACAGAAAGAAATAAACATCAAAGCCTAGTTAATTATGTGTGGTTATAAAACTTAGTAATAAGGCAGGATATGGAAGTGAGGCTACGTGTCAGTATAGTGCTGATGCTTGCCAAATATCCACCATCAGCTGCCGATGATGATCATGGATCGGACTGTAAAATTAAAGGGCGGCTCTATTATTTTTTAATATCATTTTGCAGCTTTCCAATAGTGTTTCTTATAAATTAAAATCAAAATTAAAGTTCCAAATTTACAGATGAATAACGTTATGTGTATTAAAGGTTATCATGTCCACCTAATCAGACATTGGGGAGATATTAAGAGGAGTGAATTGCTCTGTAATGTTAACTTATTAGCGCATTAGCTAACCTTAGCTTTGATAGCAAAACAAACTGCAGGACACTGTTCAAATGTCGTCCTCCTTTGAGAGATTGGCATAGTAATCAACCACAAAGCTTCCTGTCACATCATCCATCCACTGAGAGAGAGCATACGGGTCGGCCAGTCTGGTCCCGTTGGTCAGTGTTTACTTATTCAAGTAACACTCGCAGTCCTGGAGAGTGAGTGACCTGACATGGTGTGTTCGTAAATTCAGTCTGATGCTCCACACTAAAATGAGAGCTCTGTTAGTCGAAGAAATGGCGCTGCACGGTGCTCTGTTGCTCCGTCTCCCCCCCCAGAGTGCTGAGAGTGCGCTCTGCCACTCCGAGAATGTGTTGGTATGGATAATCAAACAGTACATTCAGACAGCACTCCAAATTTCCGAGTGGTCCAGTTTGTGCCAGAGTGCGCGCCGGCACTTGGAATGACTATTTCTGAACGTACCACTCGCATCATTCTTCCATTGTCGAGAACAAGTAAATGTCTACGGAGAATTTTTTTGCCTCCAGCTAAGCCCCGCCCACTAAAAAGCATCATACTGTGTACTCACAATAAAAGGGTCTATACACTAACTATGGAGCGATAAATGTGTTTATACTGTACAAATTCAGTATTATATAGAATTTTAATTGGTCTTCACCATTAGAAAAAGGACCATCTTTCACCTTAAAGCTGAAATCTTTAAATCAAACATTTTCCCTCACTCTCCATGCCGTCAGCGAAGGGCGTGTTAGGGGTAAAGGCCCATTTATGCTCAACGTTAAATATGGATCCGGATACGGACGGAGCCTTCTGTCCGTGCTCCACGTTCATTTCGTCCGTATTTCTGCACGTTTCCATAAAGCTTACGGATACGGGCCAAACGGAGCAGTACCACCGGGAACCGTGGTGGCAGTGTTGCTGTCACTACCCGATATGTAGCTCTAGTGAGACACGAAGAAGAAATAACAATTTAATTTCTCTCATCGGCAGTACTAGAGAAAAGAATTCTCCGTCCTCCAGTTGCGATGTATTTAACGGCCTCACCGACCACCACCTCCTACAACGCTGCCTCTGTTTTTGTCTTTTATGCAAGAGGTACATTATCAATATCTCCTCCACAGTCGCCATGTTTGTTTTTGAGTTTATTGTTGTCATAAACTTTTAAAACTGGGATGCCACCTGGTGGATAAATTGGTTAACATCCATGCCAACGTAAAGGAAGCATGGAAGTATGTGGGCAGTGACGGTAACATCGTTTGAAAAGGACGTATACATTTTAGTACGTAAAGGGAGCATAAATGGGCCTTAAGAGGTAGAACATCAGCGCCATAACCTACGTCACCACTTTTTGCTAACGTCTGAGTGGGAATTCTCATTAAAAAGAAATCAGAAACAAACGTGGATGGCCCAGCGATTTAACTTGTACCTAACTGTACCGTTTTGTACAGCATGATGTAGTGAGCTCATATAATAATTGATGACACCTGAATATTTATTTTACTGCTTTAACCGTAACGTATACACCATCAGTTAGTCGCGGTTTAGTTTGTTGTGCTTTCCATCCAGTTTAGTCATTTGCCTCCTTTTTAACTTTGTGCCCTGTCATTTACTCTGGAAACATTTAACAGGCCCCAGCTGCAGAGAGAGTTTAGCAACCTAGTATTTAAAAATGAACATTTAATGGTGAATTAACATTTAATCCAAAAGTCTTAAGCATCAATTAATTTTTAATCCAATCAAAGTTTAATCCAAAATGAAGGAACACTGTCATATTTTATATTTAGCATGGCCAAAAGATGCCACTTAACTTTTCTGTATTACATTTTTGTTTGTTCATAAAAGCTTTTTTTAAGGTTAATATTGGAACAGATTGGAAGCAATTATATATTGCCCATGTGTCAAGAAATTAAAGGTAATTATGAGGCAGGAGAGCTGGAGAGTCGTCTTAAGTCACCAGATGCACATGGATAAATTAACACCTACCAGGCACTGTCAGTGTGACATGTTCACTTCACAGCTTCTGATTACTCATGCATGCACATTATCTATCCATTAATACATCCAACCGGAGATGTTCCTTGCAGTCTCCCTCTGTCAAGTAAAGGTTCAACACTCAGAAGTATTTCTGGAAGATCTTTGTCTTTCTTTCTTTCTTTCTCTCCTTTCCTGGAATATTATCACAAAGGCATGTAATGGACGTTTCACGGTACATTGCCTTAATTAAATTTTCACTTGTGCAAGACATCTTCTCTCCTAATGCTATTTTTGTAACCAGTTGGAGCGCTTTTCTTCACCATCAAACCTTCAGCTACAGCTCTGGAGGAAAAATGTCCACATGTGAGCAGCAAATTGACTGGAGCTCATGTTGTCACTTTAACCTTTCAAGGCGCTCGTGCTTTAACAGTATTTGACAGATGGTGTTAGAGCTCAGTAGTTTCACCATAAGACAAGTCAAAAGTCCTTAACTTTCAATTGTGTGTGTGTATGTGTGTGTGTGTCTGACACAAAGTAATACAAATTATATATCTTTTAGTGGGCACATCTTTACTATATACCTGCCTACAATTAACAGGTATAAAGTCATATCCTAGCAACCGCCAGAAGCAGATATCTGCATATGTGTGCAGAATCTGTAGGCAATGGCACAAGATTTTGGGACTGCAAGCATTCTGTTTTTTCTTTGTAGTCCGTTTGTAGCCGGATATCTGCTGACTACACCAGAAACCCTGAAATATTGGCTGTTGCCCCATATCATCGTCAGATCGATAGACCAGTGGTTTTCAAAATTTTTGCGCCCAAGGCAAAATCTGAAGGCACACCTGTAGTTATATTTGTGCACAGTCCCTTCTATGACACGTGTTATCACTCTTATCACGACATAAGACAATAAAGATAAGACAGGTAGCTTTCGTGATACACTCTACTGACAGTTTTCTTTCTCTTATGTTTAGATGGTAGGTCGTCTTCACTGGTGCTTTGTTGTAATTTGCTTCAGACAATAAAGCGATCCATTGTCCCTCTCACAGCTTGCTCCTTTTAAATGTTATCATCCCTCACACTGGCTGCCAATCAGTTCTTTTGATGTGTCACACACTTATAATTCCCAAGCGCAAACAGCGACAAGTAGGTTCCCCATGAAAGTTTTTCAAATTAAAGTACAGTTTCTTAGCTAGAGTTTCCTTTTTTATTAGGCAATGGGAGTGCACAACATACTGATACAGTCAATCAAATATTCATTCATAACTTTTTGTATCAGCCCAGTTGAATATTGCAATAATAATGTGTGGTTATCACAAAATTCCATGGCACACCTGGATTGGCGTCATGGCACACCATTTGAGAACCACTGTGATAGACAATGGGTTCTAAGATTCTGGCAGGACTAATCTCATATATACGTACATTATATGTGTTCGTGTATTTGTACATCTAGCTTTGTGAGAACCAATTTCAGTTTAAGATTTTGAGAGTGAAGACATTTTGGAAAGTGAGTACATGTTGTCCTCATTAGGGGTCCTCATTGCCAAGTGTTGGAGACATCAGCTATAGAGATATATGCCTTCCTCTCCAATATAATGGAACTAGATGGCACTCGGTTGTGGTGCTCAAATAAACACATTTGAAAAACTCAACAGCAGTGTCTCTTCGGAGAGATCGTGACCTGGTGACTCAAGATAATCCGCAGACCTTGTTGTGAGCAGTTTCATGTGGGTTCATGTAGACAGTTTCATTTTCTTACTCTACACCCACCAACCAAATCACCCCGCAGGAGAATGCGTGCATCAATTGCTGCCTCTTCAGATGAGCTGTAACATTAGCTAGCTCAGTCATGCATGCTTAGATGCACGCTTCCTTCATCGTGGTGATACAGTTGGCAGGTGGAGATTGGTAGAAAGAAAATAGTTCTTAGATGAAGCTGCTCACAACAAGGTCTGTGAATTAGCTATAGTAACCAGTTCATGTATATTTGGTGCTTTGAGCACCACAAACCAAGTACCATCTAGTTCCAGTATATTTGAGAGAAGGCAGACATCTCTACAGCTGATATCGCCAACACTCTGCAACTCACACCAAAACAATCTAGACTGATAAACAGCACTACAGGAAAGAGGTAAAATATGTATTTTTGATATTGAGACAAACTGTCCCTTTAAGGTAATGAGGGTCCTCACAAGTAAAGAAGCACAGGGTTGGGTGGGTGAGTGTGATGTGTGTGGCTGCTTTAACACACAGTAAACTGTGTCAAGATTAAAGAGTATCAGGTCAATAAATATGATCACCTACCTTGCCGTTACATGTGTGTGTAAAGAGCGGGCCAAGTGGGTCACAGAAATCAATAACTGGAACAAAACCTGTAATCATATTGTGTTATCATTAGAGGGAAAGAAGGAAATACCCTGACCACAGCAAATAGCTAACAGAGCCAGACACTTTATGATGAAGTATACCACCATGGTCATGTTTCCTTCGTCTTTTTTTTTAATTGTACCCTTAAATTACAGTCTGTATTGTCAACAAACCATCTCATGTTCCGGACTACATCTTTATTTTAGTCACAATATTGCATTTTTTATCAACAGGAGACACAGAGAAAAACTCCAGGCTCATTTCTCCGATAGCCGCAGCCTGAGGGACTGCAGTGTCAACGCCTCTGGCCTCATGTCCAAATCTACTCCCAGGCTCCAATACAGCCTTCAGCTCCAAAAAGTAAGTCTTTCTCTGGTATTGATTTATTATCAGTCATATCTTTATCATCATTATCATTATTTTCATCGTAATATGTATAGTACATTTCTAAAAACAGAGTTTAGAGTGCTTGACAGGATGATGTACGATGTGTGTCTTAATAATCTCTCCAGTGGCTGAAGCCTTTTGTTCACACTCACATATGACAGGAGCTGAGAGACAGCAGGGAATTATAGTTTCAAATAAATGCATCGCGTGTTATACAGAAAAAAATCTGCTTGTCATGTTCACAATGACAGATCCCTGTGACAAACTGCAGATTGAAAATTCTAATCTGTAGCTTGTCATGGTTCTTGAATTCACCATGCAAGCACAGCAACAATACTGTATAGTAGACAAATAATGTTAAATGACGCTTTACTAGTGGTTTTTTACTCCTGAGAAATCCAAAAGTGTATTTTTGGCACGTTCACTTCCTGTGTTGAAAATCTATGCAGGGTTCTCACAGTCATGAAAGTCTTGGAAAAGTTATGACATTGTAAAAGCTTTCCAGGCCTGAAAAGGGTTTGGAATTAAACAGAATGTATCCCAAAACATAAAAATCCTAAAACGTGTCTAATGTTACACAACATAAGTTTCTCTAGCTCCAGCTGGTGACAGTTACCACTGATGGATAGCTAACGATAGCTTGAGCAGGAGGCTGCTGCAGTACAGTCACACAGTCTCCAACTTAACTCAGTCTATAGATCAAACAGTTGGCTATTAATAGGTTGGTTATTTACAGAGAGCACTTAGCCTAAACAGTACCTGGTGAATCATTAGGTATCATGATTCAGACATCTATAAATGTAGGTACATAGATGTCTCGATAAGCAATTATTAGCTAGTATGTTGGGTCATTTGGGGCAGACTTAAGGAACATGGTGGCGATCTTCTTTTTTCTAAGGCTCCGATCACACAGGAAGCGCTTCAGCAGCTGGAGGTGTTTTTTGTAGTTGTTTTATAAGGAGAATGAAGCTTTTTGCTCTTGTTTTTTGCGTTGCTGTGTGATTTTTTAGGGGTGGTCTAGGCACCTGGTGTTTTCGCTGAAGCGCTCTGAACTCCTGGAGTTGCAAAAAACTTCAACTCAGAGCAGAAAAGCGCCCTATGTCATCTCTTTATTTTGCCATCTTATTTCCCATTGTCCAATCGGTTGATTTGACAGGCAGCGGGTTGTGTGTGGTGGTCATGACAGCAAGTTTGCAGTTGGTAAACAATAGAGGAGAACCTGGGGGTAGCAGTAGCTGGATACCCAGAGCTATATGGCCCGACAATAGACAGCAGGTTGTCAAACTGCCCCTGAGTCATCCTAAAATACGCCTGGAAACAGCCATCATGAAGGAGAAGCTCCTGGACCAACTGGTGGTACTCCCCATGATCCACCCTCTTTGTTAGGGTCTCATGTACCCACACAGATCTCTGCTTCCCTGTGACCAACAAACTATTTGCTGAAAGCCTCTCACCCTCAACCAGAGCTACAGACAGTGCCCTGATTGAACGGTAGATTGATTACACGGAAAGGTCCCTGTAAGGACATGATAGGGTGGTTGCCTAGCAACAATAAAAAGGTGCAGCAAGTGTTTTTTTTTTTTTTTTTACTAGTGGCACTCAATAAAAAAAAATAAAAGTCTTTGCTTTCTGTGTGATCAGGGCCTAATAAGGTTTTGTGTATGCTCACTTTAGTTCACATTAGTTTAACAATAAATAAATACATACAAACTTGTCAAAATTATATTCCAAAGTCATGTAAAAATGGCCTTGATGTTTGTCAAGTAGCCGTATGTACTGGTCTGATCCATTGGCAGTGTGAATGTCTAATGAGCGAGGAAAGTTGTGCTAGCAGTTTGCTTATAGTTAGCCTTGGAAGTGCATGTTCAATAATGTATGGCTGCACTGCTATATAGGCATACTCATTCTGACCTACTTAAATAAAGTTATGGGAATGGGGTAAAATGTTATGGAAAAGTTTTAAAAATTAATTGGTAAAAATATGTGGGAACTAGATTTTTGCAAATGGGACCTTGTTCTAGTGACTTTCTCTGTATCTTTAAAGCACAGGTAAAAATTTGCAGTAGTATAGAGAAGTTTGTGCAAACTGTAACCCTCAGCTCAGAGAGTGAAAAGAAAAACAAAGCTGTGTGATTAAATTATTGATTAATGAAGAAACACAACACTGAGACATTTTGGAGAGAAACGTGACAAGCCAAAAGGAGAAAAATCTAATATGGGTGGCTGTTTCTCGCAGTGAAAAAGCACCAAGACAAACCTGGTTTGAGTAAAAAGAAATGGCAGGGTGTAGACATAAAAGAAAATGTAGCTTGGAATTAATTAAAAGCCACCACAGCCTGCAGTGGCAGACGCTGCAGGAGAGAGAAGTGACCCAGACATTCACAGCAGAGCAGGTGGAGGATGTAGATGGCACTGATAAGGCTGATGTCTCTGCAAAAACCCAAGGTAATTGCAGCCTAATGCACACTTATAAAGGTCTCATCAAAAGAGTGCAATAACGCATTAGCACTTTCCCGAATGCACCCTCTTTGTTTGGTGTTGGAAAAATGGTCACGTTTGTTTTTCCTTAATAAGGTGCTACTTTATTGTTTTTGTTGTTGCTCATCGTGCAGCCTTCTTTCATATCGTCTGAGGAAGTTACTCGCATCGCTGCTTTCCTATCATACGCATGTGCTAATGTGCACATGCTCTTTGTAGATGTGGAAATCTCCAGGTGTTACTGACCCTCACAAATTGCAAGAACATAAATAAATACTTCAAACAAATAAATCTTCTTTAATTTGCATGACTCTCACATAAATAATATGTGTAGAGGCAGGTAGTGAGCGCGCTAAACTGGAGACAAACAAAAGGGCGGTGCGCCTGTTTGATAACCATCACGTTTGTTTCAGACACAGTCGTATTAGCTGTTGAAATTGCTCATTCAGGTTCAGCCTTGTTCTGTCATTCTTGGGATGCCAAATGCAGCCTGCACTGAAGCTCATTAATAATGCAACAGTGTCTATTGTCACCCACTGAAACAAACACCCCTCAAGCTAGCCCCACCCACGGAACTGCAGTTGGCACAGTCTGAAAGCCTTTTGAGGGAGTCGCTGGAAATTATGGCTTTGAGCGGTTGACAGCCAAGAAGTTGTACAACATTTGATGTTAAATGTCGGGGCTGTTAAGTAGCTGTGTTTCACTGCAGGAAAGATGGTCTCTTCATAAAGTTGGGCTGTCTATGCAGTGGAAAACATAAATACTTTTGAAATTGGTGCTGTATGACCAGTGAAAACAGCGAAACAGGATTGTGGCATTTGCTTTAGCTAAAACGTTTTAAGTGAGAAATAGGCCATACAGTAGCAGAACCTTGGTTAATATTTGATCAGCACTTCCTAGTTCTGCCGTTTGATCTGAGTTTGCTTTGCTCTTTGTGTCTGTGGTGGCGGGCGTACAAACATGCGGAAGTACAATTTGTAGTTCGAGCAACAGCCCTAGATGAGATGGTAAGATGGAGGGAAGTTTAACATGTTCATTTATACATACTACCCACATTATGATACAAAGCTGGTTGGAAATCAGCAAAGTATCCCTTTAAGTCAAATGTAAAAAAAAAAAAAAAGAAAAAAGATTCAAATAAGCCAGGATACAGCACATGGTTTCGCTATACTGCACAGAGAAATTCATATCCCATTCTGCACAAAAACCTTCCGCTGACACCAAACCCGTCTCGGCACATCGGAGCCCAGTTTCATGTATTTCAGGCCTATTGTCCCATAGCACAATGGCAGGCTATTATATTAATACCATGACGATGAGAATGTGGTGACAGGAATGTATGAGGGCTCAGCGAAGCCCTGCATTCAACAACAAAACGTTTTCAGAGCTGGACACACGGAGGAATCCACGAAGAGGGCAAAGACAAAAATAAAAGGCAGTAATAACACCACCACACAGAAACACAAGCCGTAATGGAATGGTGTGAAGGAAGCTTAAGGTGGGACGTGAAAGATCACTGGCTATAAGCACCCAGGAGGGGGCATGAGCTGAGCGGACCAGGGAAAGATTAACAAGTGAAACCTATTTTTCCACGGATTTGACACGGCGACCCCAGACCACCGCTTCTTTCCACCCACACCCTCCGCTTGCAGCCGTCCAGGGAGAGGACATTTGCTGTGGGTGGTGCAGTCCTACAAGTTCTCTTAGATTTTCTGTACAGCATAACTTAGGACTGACAAAATGGATAAACTCTACATGCAGGAACAGCAGTTCAAAACATTTGCTGCATAACTACTCGGCATGAGAACACAGGAGTTCTTCTTTTAAGGCAGTAAGGTGGAGGGTGAGTGCAGTGAGCTGTGAACAGCAGGCTGCCTCTGTCCAGGCAGGTGCAGAGGGGAGGATGAAGTCACATTTGGTCAGTGTCTTCCATACCCTCTCTATTATAAACTGATGCGCCACTCGAGTGTCTTTAAAGGAACAGTGTGTAAGATCTAGGGGGATTTAGTGGCATCTAATGGTGAGGATTGCAGATCACAACCAGCTGAAACTCCTCCTGTGGGCCGAGCTTGAACTCACGGTTAGAATTCCTTCAATGTTCAGGGGTTTTTACCAGAAGCTGATTTACCCGTAGATGTCTCCACCTCTCCAAAACAAACGTACCAGGTGATTAAAATTGGTAGGAACGATTAGTGTGCTACATTACAGAGAAATACACAACCGTACAAATGAACCTTCATTAATATAGGCCTATATTTTATCTACAAGTGCAAGTCACACACTGAGCGAGCCGCCTGTTAATGAAGCTGTTGGCAAAGCAGTAATGATTGTGCTAAGTGGCTAATGGGCATGTAGCTACTTCCATGTTTCAGATAATACGTCATGTTTGTAGTCGACCAATGAGTTTACATATCACCTTGGGTTCATCCTTCACCTTCTCAAAATGATCCCACACTTTGGATTTCCTGCCCGACATGTTATTAACTAGCCTGTGA